ATCGGCTTCGCGTAGCGTGGGATCTGCCTCGACTTCATCTTCGGCAGGAGGAGCCTGTATCACGAACTCGCTGGCGCCGGTCCAGCGACCACTTTCCAGTGCAGCTCGGGAACTGTCGCGTTTGGTCCAATCATCCCGGATCACCACCTTGGGCCCTTGGTTGTCGTAAGGAAACGCCGTGGTGGTGCGGTCGACGGTAAGTTCCTCCAGGGAGATTGGGCCTTCGTCTTCGCGAGGGGTGAACATAGCAACGCGAGGTTGTATATGATGTCTCGTGGCTCGACCTCGTGCGCGGTCGATGTCCCAATAGTCCTTGTCCTTGGCGGTAGAGCCAAAGATCGCAATCACCCAGTCCTCGGCGAAGATCTTCTTGTTGAGCTGCTCACTTGTCAACGTTCGCAAATCCTCCACAGTCTTCACTGTCCACTTCTTCACTTCGCCCCTGATGATCAAACGATAAGGTGCCGACTCCGTACGCAGAAAGGGCATAGGCATTGGAAACTGCTCGGCATGAAGAGAAGTGCACACACCCTTGACATCCAGGTACCTGCCAAAGATCTTCTTCAACACGCCCAAGTGAACTGGATCTTGGCTCCAGTGATTGTGCTTGCCCTTCTGCTTGGAGATGATGTTGACGCTGTCCTCGATCAGACAAAGCAGCAGGTGTTTGAGCATCAGGCTGTCCACAGCAGGAACGCTCACCCCTTCGGGCCACTGCAGCAAAACTTCGTCAAGGTTTGCTCTCTTCAAGGCTGCTTGTCGAAACTCATCCATCAACTGTGGCAAGGGGGTGACCACTGCTCTTCTCACCACCGCCGGATCGTTCGAGGACGATGAGGGCTCGGACTGCGTGCCGGAGTGGTAAATTCCCATCGTCCGGTTGTTCCTAGCCACATACTTCTTGATGTCCTTGATCAGAGCCACGCACAGGGAGTGAGGAAAAGCTCCCGTCGAGGTCGGCGCACCACACGTAGCATTCAGGATGATCCCATGCCCGTGTCGATGACCTTGGCAGCGGCGTGTGGCGCTCCTGACCGAAAAATTCGCCTGAAAGGCAGTGGCACGCATCACCGGCTGGTTCTTGTTGTTGGTAACCCCGAAACAGCATTGGTCGGTGCGCTGCCTGGGACGGCAGCCATCGATGTCGCATTGAAGGGTTGCCAAAACGGTGTGTTTCCACGTTGGACTGGTCCAAGGCTGCTCGAGGATGAAACCATGTCCTTGCTCAGCCTGCTTGCACGCCAGGACCTTCACAAACTGAAGGACATTATCTGCAGTGCCTCGGCTGTGGTCGGTGGCACCGGAAGAGGAGCGCATAGGTCCAGTGTGCAAGGTCGGGGACATGACAATCACCTCGGGACAGAGCTTCTCCTGCACGGACAGAATAGCATCCTGATGTTCCCGGCAGCCTAGGTTCCATCCGTAGCGAAAGTCCACAGGGAAAGCCACCGTGAGTCCAGCCAACAGTGCCAGGTAAGAAAGTCTGGAAGAGCCACTGAAAAGTTCCCAAAGATGAACTGGCGATCGTGCTCCCTTTGTGCGACACCAACGTTCGTAGTTGCTTGGTGTCACTGGAGGCTTTCCAGACTTGCTGTAGTACTCCTCCTTCAAGCGAGAGTATTGGCCATCAAGCTTCTTCGCATGCTCTGATGACAAACCATGCATCTGGATACTGGTCACCTGGATACACCGTAGGTCGGGTGAACTCGGCCTCGATGTTGGCATTCTGCATCTCGTCCTCAGAGATGACACTGGTCGGCAGGTCGTTGTTCGTTGTCTGAAAACGTACCGTCTTGGGGGACGAGCATCGGTGCTGTCCTTGACGGTTCCCCTCGGTGACCAGAGAGCTGTGTCCTGCAGCAAAGTGCCTTTCGGCGGTGACCAGAGAGCTGTGTCCTGCAGCATCTAAAGCTGTAACAAACGACCCCTGAGGCAGAACTGGAACTGATTCTGTGGTAGGATCCGAGGGCTTCTGAGGTTGATCTGCAACCAAATCTGCTGTAGCATCATGGGACCCCTGAGGCAGAACTGGAAGTGATTCTGTGGTTGTAGGATCCGATGGCTTCTGAGGTTGCACCTCGGTCACATGATGACTCCGCTTTGGCTCTGGCATATCTTGTGTCGAGAAAAACCATGTGCCTCGAACATCGTTCCATGTCGTCTGGGACTTCTTGTGAACTGCTGACAGAAAAGTCTGGGCCTTGGCCTTCTCGGTCGGGGCAGCTGAGGTCTCGTCCAGCGGCAACATGTAGTGCCTGCTGTCCGTGTACAGAAGACGAAGAAGATGCATGTCCTCTCCATCCTCAGCGTTGCCCGGCACTATCAGGAGTCCGTCCTTGTTCTCGAACCAGCTTGACGCTATAATGGCGCCCATCTTGACCAGCGCCGGGTTGCCCACCAAGGCTGGGCAACAGCTGGCTTCGCCTCCAACAACGTCCGCGACATAGCAAGCGTCGCGTAGCCCTGGCAACATTGGAAGTGGCACGCAAACTTCTCCCAAGGTGGTGTCTGCGGAACCACTGATGCCAGTGACTTCTGACTGCTTCTCCGACCAGGTAAGAGAGGCAGTGACCTGGTCCTTGAGGTCACAATGTTGTAGTAGATCACGTAAGGTCTCGCTGCCAACCAAACCATTTGCTGCTCCAGGGTCGATGATCAGGCCCCTGCGTCTCTGACCTTGGATGGTGTGGAAGACCTCCATGCCATCCGAGTGGCCATAATGCGTCGAGTGTCTCAGGGTCCTGACCTCGTTGCCGTCCACGCTTTTCCTGAAGAAGAAAGCGAGCCTTTTTGCGGGAAGCTCCCGAGACGCTTCCTGATGGTTGTCCTCACCGTTCTGCATCACCTTCTCCGGGTCCTCTTTGGCGATGGCCTTTCTCTCCAAACGAAGAAGGTCCTCGAAGTAACTCTCCTTGGCGCCGGAATCGTTGGCCATGTTGAAATACTGTGGTTTCTGCGTTGCCGTAGGCGCCGGGGAGGTTCCAAGATGAAGACCTTCTTGGGCATGTCGAAGCTGTCGGGTGGCTCGAGGGCTCGAGTCGGCGTAGTAGCGAGGCATCCATGCCCGTGGTCCATCTGGCGACGACCAAGAGCCTTTCCTCGACCACTTGCCCTTGCTCTTGCCCTTCGACTTGCCTTTGCCCTTTCCTTTGCCCTTGGAGCTCTTTCCTTTGCCCTTGTAGGGAGTCCAGCTGCCAGTGCCTTTGCCCTTGCTGTTCACGGGGCAATCAGCAGCATGATGCCACTTCGAGCCACAAATGTGGCAACCACTGCCAAAGGGACCTTTTCCACGTCCTTTGCCGCCTCGGTAGCCTCCAGCGCTGTAAACGCCATCGGCCTCACTCGTGGCCGCTTCGTCGCTGCCTCCTTGGTGTCCTGGTTCTAAGTCAGGATCTCCTTGCCATTCTTCAGGGAAGCCATAGTCGTCGTAGTAGGTCTCCTCGCCGTACCATGCATAGTCATCTTCCTCCTGGTTGTGGTAGTCCTCGTCATAGAACCAGGGGTCCTCAGACCACTGCTCTTCGCCCCAGTAGACTTCTTCATCCCATTCATAGCCGCCACCTTCTCCATGGGACTTGTCCTCGTAGTAGCTGTCGTGGTTCGAGCGGTCGACACGGTGCGACAGTCTCAAGGCAAGGGCGCGGATGTCGTGGAACCGAGACAAGTCTCCTTGTACTTGCAGCCGAAGGTCGTCTTGGTGTCTCGGTGGCAAGTTCGACTGCTTCAGCCAAAGGTAGGTCTTGGCCACGTCGTTCACATCCAGCCCGGCCTTGACCTTCGCCTCCTCAAACCGAAGTTCCCACTCGGCCGAAAACTCTTGCAGTCCTTGCGAAGGTGGGCGACGGAACTCGAAGAAAGTCTCCAGGGCCTTCGTCGTCTGAGCTTCGTCGCTTTCTCCGAAGGCCTCCTTCAGCGCGTTGCAGAGTGCTTGGACGCCTGAAGGAATGTGGTGCTGAATAATGGTGGCACCGTCCATAGGGTCCACGACCTGGTCGACTGACAATCTGACCAGTGCCGCGTCCCCTGTGTCGTAGGTTCCATCCGGACGGATCAGCTTGAGCTCCAGTGCTATCCGCTGCGCCCGGCCGATCAGCCGGCCTGCCACCAAAGGGCCCACGATCTCGTCCGGGACCTCCGTGCAACGGTACCACAATTTCAGCTTGCTGAAAAACAACTTCAGAGGGTAGCTGTCGATTCCCGGGCCCCAGCCCGGTGGCACGTCCTTGCGCCATTCCTCAATTGGAATGCCGCCGCTCGACGTAGATCCATTCGGCGCCGCCATTGTTCCTTGGTCTTGGGGAGAATCGTGTAAGGCAAGGGGTGCAGAATCGCTGTCTCCTCGGTGAAGTAAGTTATCTTGTCCTCGTAGATCTCCTTCGCCTTGTTGGGCTCGCCGTGGATCGTGTTCAGGTGCTCGTGCTGCGAAGGTTGTTCCGGGGCCGTGGCTTGTCGCCTGGTCCTTCCAGAGAGGGAAGAAGGAGCCGCTCTTATCAGGTGATACTTGGCACAGCACAAAGGCGAGTGCCCAAATTCCGTACGACCGAAGTCTCGAAGTCGTGGTGCTCGTGGTACACGTGGTAGCTCGGGGCGACCCCGGCTGTCCAGCCTCCAGCCGGACGGCAGCTATGGCTGCACGCAGCAAAAGCAGGAGCCGAGCTCCGCTACCAGATTCAGAAAATCTGGGCTAACTCTTTCACTCAGCTCAAGCCGGCTCGCATCGGTAGATATGTAAACAGGGCTCCAAGTGCACTATACAATTTGACTCTAGCAGCTAGTAGCTGTACCCTACAGGTGAATTCAGCACAGTCGCTCTAAGAGGTTGACAAAAATCTAACGTCGTTTTCGACAGACTCGACTCGAACATGCCGGCAGATGTGTATTTAGAATGAGACATGCACATGTGCACCCATGCCTGCCCTTGTTCTAGGCAAGATGTATACACATGCATATATGTTCAATCCGAAGCCACACACAAAGCACAGTGATGCGTCTGTTCCGTCCTCAATGGCGCGGATCATCGGTGTGTTGATCCCGACCTCTCGATGCCACTGTGGGTTTCGCAAGAAGCATGCACACACCTTTGCATGAGCCATCATGAGCCCAACAACAAGACATTCACGAGCGGTTCAGCCCTCCCCAACAGCAGAGCACGAAAGTCAGTTAGCGATGTCCTCGCAACGAGGCAAACGGCCAGAGACACGTGCTTGCCTGCGTGCGAATGGTCAGGTTCGCGCCCAGGCGCTCCCCAATGAGCTTCCTTGAGAGGAGGATCCGAGACGCACGGAGAGATCCGCGGGATCCGCTGGGAAGGCTGGGAAGGCCGGGAAGCTGGCTGCTGCATGGCGCAAGCCATGAGCTTCAGAAGGAACCCCACGGCGATGGCAATGCCCGCACCGGCCTCGAAGCCTCGCAAGAGGGCCCCGCCGGGCCCACCCAGCCACCGTATGCCGGCTGGTGATGTAACGTATGCCGGCCGGACCCAGGGGACACTTATCCGCGATGATGATGCCAGCGAAAAGGTAGACAGGCACCCCCGGCACCTAAGACTCCAAGCGATGGAAGATAGCCCACACACAGCTCATTGCCATCGCTGCCCAGCCCCCGAGCGTGGAGCCGGAGGAAGAAGGAAGCAGCACATGCCTGACAGAGGCTTGGCGAGGCTTGGTTGCGCCGCGCAATACGCCGCGCAATACAGGGCCTGCCAGAACGATGCAGAGGCAGACCAAGCCGAAGTCAAAGCCCTGAAGTGCCGAGCTGAGCCTCCCAAGCTCAAGCGCAGGGGCGCAGCAGGGGCGCAGCTCAAGGCCCTTTAACCAACGCCCTTTAACCAACTTTCTCCCAACCAGGAAAGGAAGATGTTCAGCAGGATAGGAAAAGTCACGTAGAGGAGCATGAGGAGGCCTTTGGGAAGTGGCGACGTCTCTTGGCACAGTAGGCTGAACAGGTCCCGTGCCAAAGACATACATCTTCATGAAGATAGAGATCCAATCCCAGTCCAGACGCATTGCCTCCACCTGCAAACCAAGACGAGAGAGAAGGCTCTCCGCAGGGGCCAAGCTCGGGGCCTGGAAGGAGACTCGCTGCGTGAGCCAGAGCTGCTCCTGGAGAAACGGCCGAAACGGCCGGGAACTTGGGGCTTTTTGTTTTGCCCGTGAGCCGGCCGCGTCGCTGCTCGGTGCAAGGGCGACCCTCGAAGCGCGGGGAAGCGTCGTCACATGAGCAAGCGTCGGACGAACCTCACAGCACCATCTGGGCCGCCCACGATTCCTCTGCCTGCGCACTCCCACTCTGGACTCTGGACTCTGCACATCCCTCGTCTCGCGCGCACCTCATAGGTGATGGTTGGGAGGCCACGCCACTTTCGAACCTTCTGGTTCAAGCAGGAAAGAGCCAGCCTGAGGCGATCTGAGGCAGCGTAATATCCACAACGAAGATGCTAAGGCTGACGAGGCAGCTGCACCACGGGTAGCAGTGGGCTGAAGCAGAAGACCTGGGGCTGGTGGAGACGAAGGGGTTGCCAGTTGCCACTAACATGCTGTGGGGGCGGCGAGCAGTGCGCGCACCCAATCACCTCGCTGAACAAAAAACAGCAGTGGAAACGATGGTCGAGTCCTCTGGCCACTTAAGGGGCCACGGACCGGGGCGCGAGCTTTTCAGGAGGCTCACGGACAGCCGGTAAAGTGGTAGGTTCTGCGAAACGCAGGAAGAAGTGCAGGCGGGGCATTCTCGTGCATGTCACGCAGTCTCACGAATGTCAATATGTCCCTCCTTGCACCAGTCGGCCATGACCTTGTTGTACAGTGCGGGCGTCCGGACGCTCTTCGATCTGTGCTTCTTGCATCTTCTTGCTTAACCCGTCTAAGGGATTTGTGCCGTCGCTCCTTTTCAATCTGCGCGGTGGCGTCTTTGCATGCTGGGAAACGGGCCGTCCCGACTTCGGACGGCACCGTCCAAGGCCTCTTTCAGCCCTGGAATTCCAGAGTCGCTAGAGTCGCTGCTGTAGAGCCGCTAGAGCACGAGGGACCAGGCTGCCGCCTTCTGCCGCGACTCCTCCTTTCTATCCAGCAGCCATGCAGGCACCACGTCCTCCTCCGCGACGAGAGGCATCACCTGTAACTGGGCGAGGTCTTTTACCACCAGCTGCGTCTTCAGGCTGCGGCAGCACTTGTTGCTTACAAAGTCCGGAACCTTGGAGCACGGTCAACATGCTTTCGCCAACCGGCGAAGTGTCTGAAGGTGTGCAGCAACTCGGAGGCCACCGACTTTCCTCAAACTTGGAGTTACACGTCGGCAACTAAACATCCGAGCCTTGAGTCGTGTCACGTTTCTGTCATCAACACCGGCGGATGGACAAATAATTCCTTTCAGCTTGCGCATGAGGGCAGGGCAGTCTTTCTTTCTCTCGGCATACGGGTCATGGCAGTCTCTCTCCCCTCTCCCTCAGCGCTCTGCCTGCCGCCTGCGTGAGCAAGTGAATCTGTCTTTCCCTGTGCGGACGAGCACGGACACTGTGGCCGGACATTCTCACACGAAGCCCCTTAGCGGTTCGAAGTCGCTAAGTCGCGTACCTCCTGCCACCCGAAGACGCTGCAGCCCCTGATATCCCCTGACTGCCTCAGGAGCTCCATAGCCTCGCGCTCAAGGATATGCACCTGTTCCAGTTGGTCCAGGTCGTTCACGTCGTCCCCGAAAGGATTCCTGAGATGCATTTTGTGAGCACATGTGCACCTGATCTCGCATCTGTTCCCTAGAGGTCCGAACTTGAAGAGGTTTCCGAGGGGCTCAAGCTCTGTAGCGATGGCGTCCACGCCTAACAGGGCGAAGGAGATTACGGAGGGCACCACCGTGTTTGCAAACCAACCCCGGCTCGGGTCCACGAAAAAAGGAGCTGAGATCATGTAGAAGCATAACAAGGTCTTGCAGAGGTTCGCATAAGGTAACGGGATGGGAGTCGTACAGACCATATGCGCCGTCTCGAAGGACTCGAGAATACCACTGAGCAAGTGGACCAAGGCGCCCACAAAGCGATCCTTGATGCCCCAAGGCTGAGTGTTGAAAGGGTCGTTCATGTTCCTGAACAGCACCTCCCTGAGGAACCAGACGATAGCGACCGGCACGCGCACAAATTGATCAAATCTCACCGGAAACTCGTCGTCCCAAGAACTGGGAGGCCCCTCCAAGGTCCGCGCGTTGTGGAACTGGCTCGCAAGCCGACGTCGGGTCTCCGGTACTGACTCATCCTCTGCCAGGCCAATGCATCGGTTCACAATCTCGAATTCCTCCTCTGTCAGAAGTTGTAACAATCTCAACCTGTCCCAGTCTAGGAACCATTTCGCCTCTTTGTCAAGACTGCCAAAGCAATATCCGTCCAGAGCAATGCTTGTGTGCAGCTTGAATGCGACGGCCAGTGCCACGCTCAGGCGAGCGACGTCGACTCGATAGTTCCTCGCCTTCTCGTCATAGTGGTCAGGCTTAACAGAAGCAGGAACGGTCGCCCCAGGTCCTTGATGGAACAAGTGGATTGAGGACTCGAGCCCACCACGCACATAGATGATCGACAGCAACAGCACTTCTCGGACTTCAGAGATGTAGTTCGACAAGGTGGACCGCCCCAGCCAGTACCGGGCATAGGCCTCGTTCGCGCGGAAGATCAGGAGGAAGGTCACCGAGAGAGGCAGCAGCATTGAATGATGTTCCGTGCCAAACTGCAGCCCTGTCTCAAGGGCGAAGAGGTAAGCCGCAATAGAATACAGCGAAGAGGCCAGCCATTTGCCCCAGATGTGCGGCCAAACAGTACCAGCATACCTGAAGAGCACCTCCAACCACTCACTGCTGCTGTACAGGATGACCATGTTTCAGAAGGCTGTCGAACGGCAAGATGGGGATGGGTTTCGGGTGCGCTTGTGTCATTCTCCTATCTGGTTGGTATTCTTGGCTGGGGGGGGGGGCGATGGGTCGTCTGGTGCACTAGACCTAAGGAGCTAGTTTCGGGATCGGCATGTGGCTTTGGATGTTGACAGGACTTAGCTGAGGTCAGGCTCCGCAGCTTCGGATCGCCCCTGGGCAAATTTCAAGTCACTGAAACCATGTTTTCGCTCACCGAAGCTTTCTATTTCGAACCCAGCCCTGGAAATAATGGACTTCGCAGACTTAGCAAGGCAAAGTTTGCTTAACACAGATTACGAATCCATCTGTCAGCTCACCGAAGCTTTCCTTCACGGATCCCGCCCATGCTTACCCGATGCCGCAACACCAAGCTCTGCAAGCTGCAAGATTGAGCATGCTACGCATCTTCCTCTCAGCCTCCGCTTGGCATCAGAGAGTCGTTGGAATAATGCTGCCGATAGTTGAATTTCAATGGTAAGGGCCGTATGGCATATGGCACAGCGCTAGCTAGAGGCTGAGAAAGGAAGTGAAAGTCGAGCCCTCGTTACTTCTGCGAATGGATCCACTGCCACGGATGTTCTGGTTACACCGTGAGGCACACTGCGCGGCTTTGGCGGATTTGCGCGGGGGCAGCGACTTGGCTCGGAGCCGTCTTCAGCCGCTGGAAAGCCACCGCCACGAAGAGGCAGAAGCTCATGCTGAAGACCCCGAGGAACCCGAGAACCTCGACATGGCAACGGCGCGCACAGGCTTTAGCGGCTTAGCCTCTGGGGAGCCGGCCAGGTCAGAAAGGTGGCTACTGGAGGAAACAAGCTGACTGGCCATCCAAGTGGTGCCGAACCTCCAGCTCCGCGCAGAGCGGACTCGCACAGCTCTCTCAGCGTGCTCAGGGCCACGGCATGAGCACAAAGACACAGCCACAAACTTTGATCATGCGAGAGACGAGGTCCAAGTTCTGCCTAGGAACCATAAGGGCTTGCAAAGGTTCGCACAAAAGGTTGGGGTTGGATCGTTGCGGCCCAGCTGCATCTGCTTCTCTGCGAACTTGTCCTTCTGTGTGTTGCCTCGATCCGCAGCTTAGAACGTGGGACCCACCGGCAACAAAGGCTGAGCAAGCCCCCAACTCAGCTTGTCGAAAGCCAGCCTTAAGCCGCACTCAGAGAATCGACAAAAGCCGCCACGCCACGGCCGGCGCTGCGCTGCGACGATTATGACCATTGCGTCTGAGATCCATGACTTGCAGTCCTCATCCTCGATCTGCTGTGAAACGAGGCCCACCAGTGTCTTGCGCCGCACTGACCTCTGCAGAAGCAGCAACAGCCGAGAGCTGCTCAAGCACCGTGCAAGCTTCCAGGCGTCCCGCTTGCGCCCGTTGCTCATCTGAACAGTAGGGAACAGAACGAACGAACGAAGGCCCGGTTCCCCTGCCCATGCATGTACCGAGCCCGGTGCTGTGACCTGGTCACTTTCAGTCACCATCTGGAGCAACATGTCGCCATGGTTGTAGCTTTTCGCCAGACCTACTCGCAGAGACACCTGCAAAGGCTCGATGGGGGACAAAGGGCTCAGCAAGAAACGGATTTCGGCGCACAATTAAGCCGAACATCAGGTACGCCAAGCCCACTGCCTCCGAAGACAGGCTTTCAGACCTCTTAGACATATTTGTGGGAACTGGGCTGCTGGCTACGGGCGAGACCCAACGAATGTACGTCAGCTCCTTGTCTGGTCGACTCTGTATTCAAGCTCAAGTTGAATTTGCGCAAGCAGGCTACGTCTTGCAGTTGACTGGTGCTTCAAGGCATCCAGCAGGCTGCTAGCCTCCAGGCTTGATGCCCATGTTTAATTGTCTGCATCTGGGTGGCCGTGCTTGGTGTTCCACGTTTGGAGTGCTCAACATGCGTGGGCAGTGGCAAAGTCCGCGCGCTCTAAAAAACGACTAAGAGTCTCCGGGCGTCCTGATGTGTACTTGCAACACTTGTGACACGTATCATACTTGCTCTGCCGTGTTTTCTCCGTAACGCGAACCTGTTTGGCTGCGCAGACAAGTGCCCCATGATATCCCATGATCCTCAAGGGGTGATGGTTTGATACCCAGTGGTTCTGCGTGTGCAAGTAATCAACATGTCAGGTCAAGTTCAGTCTCTGATGCATTCATGCGCTCAAGAAAATAAACAAACTGATTCCAAGTATTGCATGATTCTTGCATCTTCGAGGCTGCAAGCACACTTGAAGCTGTTTGTCGTCAGTCTCTCTATGAGCATGCAGGCACAACAAGCAAGTGTAAACGTTGCGAGCTGGGAGTGCGGGCCGACTCGGCATCACCGAAAGTGACGTCGCTAAAATCGATGTTCTCGTTGAGCGCCCACCTGCAGGCACGAACACAAGCACGCTTCCCCTCGCCGAGGCGACCCCGAGGCCAGAGCACGAGCCAGACGGCCAAGGTCAGAATCCCAAGTCTAGGCTGGCAGGGCTCGCCGGGCCCCGAAGAAAAGACACCCTCGCCGTCTCTGTTTAGAGCTGGGCCCCGGGACAGAAAAAAAGCCGTCATGCTACCAGCATAGAAGGCCGTAGCATCCCTCTCCGAGCCAACGTAGCGCCTGTCAGGCAATCGAATGGTTCACAGGATGCATGCAGAGAATGGGTGCCGGGCTGCATCTTCAGCATCCTCATGCTGTGCACGTGCCCTACCTGGGTTCAGATCATAGGCATCGCACAAGAAAAAGTGCTGTGTGTAAAGCCGCTTTGCATGCCGCCCCGAAACCGGCTTCGAACGACCCTGGGTCCCAAATCCACTTCCCACCCTGGAACTCTACGCCCGCTCTTGCAGGTTGCACCCAACACCAAGGCCGGATCGCAGCACCGGCTCATCCCCCACTCCCATGCTAGAGTTGTTCCTACAGTTTCTGCTAGCACGCCCGCATGTGCGCTTCTCCACTCAGCACCGGGCTTGGTTGAAGACCGGCTCAGCCTCCTCTGGCAGAGGCCGCGTCAAGGCCCGCCTTGAAGAAAAAGAAATCTACAGATTGGACCGACCGACGAGAGAGGCGACGACACCACCGTGGTCAGCAATGGGCCCAGCAGAACCTCGGAAGTTGACAAGAACATGATCTCACAGCGTCTCCTCAGCTCTCAGCGCGGTGCCGTGCACTGGATGGGTACTGCTGGATACGTCTGGGAGGCAGGGACTCTAACAAAGGAGCCAATCCGACTGGCGCAGTGCACGCTTTCAAGAGTCCGGTCTGCCGGCACCTCCGCCAGATTTAGTGCTGCGGCGAACAACCTTTCGGCCACACCAACAACACACTCGAGACTTCCGATTCATGTGGATGACCGATGCCGCACATGGCTCAGCTCACAAACATCAAGGCCATCTCTGTATGTCTATAGACAAGAGGAGGAGGATAAAGCCCCGGCCCAGGATGCAGCTAAGCTGTCCCCCGGCTCAGTGGCTCAGCTCCGGGCAGCATGCCCGCGACGCCCAAAATGGCCCTCCCAACGAACATGTCCTTACAGCTGCAGTCTGTTCCAAGTGCTGCACCAAAACTCGAACGCACAGGTTCACGATCCTTGTCGCATAGCACGAAGTATTGGCCTGCACTCAGGTCGCTGTAATTTCCAACTCCTTTGTCGACTCGCGGCCTTCGAGGTGGGGTGGCCAAAAGAAGTCCAATAGGTACCTGACGTTCTTTCTTCGAAGCCTCGAAAATACAGCAAAGAGCAGCAGCCAAGGCGACGGACAGGCACAGCAGCAGCAGAGATGCTAGTCCAGCGTAGATCGCCCCGTGCGCCTGGGCAGAACGCACACATGCAGGAATTTCTCTTCCTTCCCATAGCCCAGTTGGGGGTGCCAAGGCGGCCAAGGCGCTGTGCCACCAAAGAAGTACGTGTACACCTCCTGGCCAAAGCCTTGGTGGTGGTGCAGAGACCCCTCAACTCCCTCAACCTGGGGAGATGGAAGTGAGGTCGTGGCCCATGTCGGACCAAAGAACGACGGAGGCCGCACATGGCAGCCCTGCGACTAGGAGGCAAAGGAGGAAATACCTGGGAGCACCAAACAGATTTGCTGGCAGGTGCACCGACGAACAAGACAAAAGAGCTGCGGGCGGCAGGAAACCACACCTGAGGCTCTGCGATCATTGCCATCTGCACGCTGGCACCCCAGGGACAACTTGGGCGGAGGCCCGATGCGCGCCTGCCAAGAGCTGAGAGAGCAGATGCCGCACACAACTTCGCTCTCGGCCTCGCTGCGCCGCTGCCCAAGCTCGATGCTCTCTCCGCCTTCTCCCCCTTCCTCAGAGAGCCAAAACAAAGCCCCGAGCCCCTCTCCTGGTGTGTGACACTCTCCGTGTACAGTCGGTCTCTCACCGGCAGCACGCCCCTGGGTTCAATCATCACAGCGGAGACCTGAATAAAATGTGCAGACTGGGCGAGCAAAGCAGGGCTACGGCAGGGCTATGGCTACCCTGCCTTCCTGCGACGTCTGCACATAAGGCATGAGAGCCTCCTCAGCGATGAATGCTGAAACGATCGAGTCAAGAGCACACATCACGTCTCCTCGCCGCGCCATGTCCCCCAACAAGATGGGCCACTCTCGGGCCAGGGATCTCCAACATCCAGACAAGCAAGCAGGTTGGCAGGTGGAGAGGGTTGAGACTGCGGCGAAAAGGAACCAAACCACTGCTTGGCCCGCACGTCTCTTTGACGAGAGCTGCGCATGTCGGGCCTTGCGGCATTGCGGGTGAGACGGCGGGTCGGCGGAGCGGCGGAGCCACGCTCAGGTCTTTGGCTCCTCCTGACCGGGAGACTCGAGACTCCCAAGTCATCCCAAGTCCAAAGAAAGGCATTTTTGCCGTCCTCAGGCAAAGCCAACGCTTCCTTCTGCCGGTTGAAGTAAGGTCGGAGGACCCACTCCACCTGCGCTGCTTCACTCGAGATGGTCCTGCAAAGATCGCCGCACGAGCCTCGACGTCCTTCATGTCGATCGTCCCAAGCTCCACGCGAAAGAGCCTGCAGAACGCGGCGGGCAGCAGGCGCGCTCATGTCAGCTCTGGGCCGCGAGGTTCTGCACCTCATCTGGAATCGGGGGCCATTTTCTGTAAGAGCCACGTCCTTCGCCTCGGAGGCAAAGCATCGCACTTTGCGCACACTTCGCACAAAAGCGCGCAATTTGCGCGGTTTCGACCCGTCCCGTCGATTTGGCCGAGGGCACCCGAGAGCGATGGCCGTCGCCGCCAGGACCCTTTGGCCTCCCACAGGTGCCATCGAGAACCCCTCTTACTTCCCACTGCTTCTCCAGAGAAACACCTGGCCTTGCAAAGCTGTGGTGCCGAAAATGGATCACATCGTGGTCTCGGCCCAGCGCAGCTAACAAATGCCGCAGAACAGCGCGAGCCACGGCTTGGATTGCCAGGACAAGGCACGGTTGGCAAAGGTCATGACTCTGTCGCCGGCTTGCTTTGCCGGTGGGAAGAGCGCCTTCGGAGAAGCGGGTTTTTCCAGACGGCCGAGATCTTCCTGAAAAGCCTGCAGGATCGTCTTCACCCGGAGCCCAGTCTTGGCTGTGAAACCATGGAAGACGAGGTGCGGGCTGGCCTCACAAACAGACACTTGAAAAAGCGCGATTGCGATGACAAGGTCTCGGCTATCACTGCAGAACCTCAGACATGGCCGGTGGCTTCTCAGCGAGGTCGTGGCGCAGCACCACGTTGGACAAGCCTCCACACGGGCACGGCACGAAGTCACTCGCACCAAGCTGCAGCCTTGGGACCCCGACCGAAGTAGGCCGTGGGCCCGAAGGGCAGGTGGCAAACGACCATGCCGTCGGGCTCGCCACGGTGTTCGTGCACTAAGATCACCTGTCCACTTCTGCAACAACACCCTCACTGGTCACCAACGGTGGGGCCCACATCCGTCATCTCGTGCGACCGGGCCAGCTCCATTAGATCCTTCGGCAAGGCACCGCCCAGCAAAGGCAATGATGATGCGGAAAACCCCCCGTCCTTCACGACATAGCTGCCGCGGTTCATACGCTGGGCTCCAGGGAACCTCGGCATGTGCCCCTGTACCACATATCCTGTGTGATTGTGGCTTCTGAGACTTTGCTTACTTTCGATCGACTCCAAGGGGCAACATCCGGAGCTCTTTTAGGAATTGGCTCAAGCGTGAGGACGGATCTCGCGAGGTGGTGACCAGCACCTGTCACCGGGTGAGTTCGTGGCTCCTACGTGCAGAGCAATTCCACACCCTACCTTTGGGTCCTTGACGCCAAGGTAAGCATACTCGTCGTCCATGGCTTTGCGCTGGTCCTTCGTCCGGTCGTCCGCCAAGTCCAAGACCTGACTATAACAGCCAAGACCTGACCTTGAAGATGTCCGCACATTCCATGCCTTGCGGAGCTTCCTGTCCTCTCCACGCAATTCTGTCGGGATCGGCTTCTGGCTGTCGAAGGCCTGCGCTTCAAGACCCGCCGACCCCCCGGGCCGGCGCACAGATTCCAGTTGGCGGGCTGGCTGGTTCACGTGATAGCGACATCGAGGCTAGAGAGGTTAGGCAGGCTCAACCCCCCACTTCCCTCCAAAAGTTTAGAGAGGTTAGAAGCGAGGTTAGAAATATCTAAGTTAATTCAAGCCCAAGGCAGGCCCAACCCCTCACC